CATGGTAAGTCAACCATTGATCATATATTTACCTCCAAATCTTGGAAAAGACCCGTTAAAAGAGGATCGAAACTCACCACCTCTTCGTCGATTTTAAAGCCGCCTTCGACTATGTCTGAATTTGGTATACCCGCAAAATTTATATGGCTGTAAAAACTGACGCTAGACAACACCAGATGCGCAGTCAGAATCGGGAAAGACATCTTCGATACCAAACGAGGTTTCAGACAAGGTGACTCCTTATCGTGTGACTTATTTAATTTGATGCTGGAGGAAATAATACGAGCTGAGAGCTAAATAGAGATGGTACAATCTTTTATAAGAGTGTACAGCTGCTGGCGTATTCCCATGATATTGACATTCTTGGCCTCAACAACCGCGCCGTTAGTTCTGCTTTCTTCAGGCTTGATAAAAAAAGCGAATCAAATAGGTCTCGTTGTGAATGAAGGCAAGTTGAAATATCTCTCGTCATCAAATAACTAGTCATCGCATTCGTGCATCGGCTCCCACATCACTGTTGACAGTCATAACTTTGAAGGCGTAGATTACTTCGTCTATTTAGGAACCAGTATTAACACAAACAACAATGTCAGCCTGGAAATCCAACGCATCGCTCTTGCCAACAGGTGCTTCTTTGGACTTGAGTTTGAAATTGAAAATTAAAGTCCACTCTCGGCGAACGAAAACCAAACCCTACGAGCCCCTCATCGTTCCCGTCCTGCTATTTGGTGCGGAAACATGGGCGATTACAAAATCTGATGAGTTGGCGTTAGGAGTTTTCGAGAGAAAGGTTTTGAGTAAGATTTATGGTCCTTTGCACGTTGGCAACGGCGAATATCGCAGACGATGGAACGATGAGCAATACGAGTTATACGGTGACATTGATTTAGTTCAGCGAATCAAGAAATAGCATATCTATTGGTAATGTACAATATCGCCTGTTAAATGACAATTGTGGGAATATACTTTTGGTTTTTCTTGCTATAAATTATTTTCCAGTTACACTCCCTTTAAACTGTAAATATTTTCATTTTTTTTAATAATTGTAATTTTTTATTTTCAAACTTATGATACACAAATGATATAAATATGAGTCACTTCTACTCTGGACTTCTCGGTAAGACACAAGTGTGTAGCAGAAATTGTATATTTCATATTCGATTCCAATTAATAATGAAAGTTCTGGTTTTAAGTCCATACAAATCCAGAAAAAGCTCGTTAGAAAGCAAATGTGCTGGAACAAATCAAAGGAGCTTGATACAATTTTTAAAATTATTTTCTTTATAAACACTAATTTTATAATATTTTTCTAATTATAAACACTAATTAGAAGCTAATTAGTGCGGCAGTTAATTGAAAACGATTGTTCAATGTTGAAATATTCATTACGTTGTGCTTTTTTAGTGATAATATTACTAATTTTTGGTAAAAATTTATCTAAAATTCGTTATTTAAAATCAATTTAAATATTCCAGAATCCAGAATTTCAAAGTCGCATGTATTCAGTAGGAATATATCACAGAATAGCAGTGATTTCGCGAAGCGACCCAAATCGAATCAAATATCGAAGAGAACAAATGCACGGCGTTTGGTCGAGTCTGGATTTCATGGAAAGCAGCATGCAAGAAATCGCTTCTGGCCAAAAACAAAAGAAAACAACATGTAGACTTTACCCATTCTAATTGGCTTTCGACTCTAAACTAGTCGAAGTATGTCGTTTGGAACTATGAAACGAAAAAAACCTCATTAGTCCTGATGGTCGGAGGTATTTTCAAAAGCCCATTGACCAAAAATAAATAGAAATCTCATTTTTGAGAAAGTAAAAACGGTATGGGAGCTATTAAAATCTTTAACAAGAATGCGAAATCGGTGAGGCAGTGTTAAAGCAGAAGGGTTATGCAACCAAATACTAACTAAAAGATAATATTTGAATTTATTGACCATGAAAACTCAAATAAATTAAGGTACAAACTGTACCAGGACAACGATCCCAAACATAAATCATTGCTGTGCAGGACGTGACTACTAAATAATTGCAGTAAAGTTATTGACACTCCCGCTCAGAGTCCTGACTTCAGCCCCATACAAAATTTATGGGCTTTTATAATGAAGCAAGCTGGCGAACGGGGCCCAACTAATAAAAACCGCTCTTATTAAGGCCATTAAGGAAGAGCGGAACGAAATACCTGGAAATTATGACTTAAATAACCTTATTCGGAACATGCCCCGTCATAGTCGAGCTGTTATAGATGCAAGTGGCCATCATTCCAAATATTCGGAGGTGTATAGAAAACGACACAGAATTGCTTATTTATCGGAATGAAAATCAATATCTGCATGAAATGGTGTTATGCAACCGATTTGATTTTGCTTTTTCCGAAGATATGCAAAACCGATATTCAAATCAGCTGTCATCACAGTTGTGCAAAAAAAAACAGTAATTCAATTTAAGTTTTGTACTGTTGTTAACACATTTGAAATAATTAAAAATAAAATGACTTCGGCAGAGATAGCATTTATAATGAATGAAGGATATCGAGAAATAATGCAGAAAAAACCCAAAATTGTAAGGGATCGAGCAATCCGTTGAAGCTACCAGAGTCGATGTAAGTACAATTTGCATTCTACTTTTACATTTGTAGACTCATAGACCAATATCGTCTTAACAAATAAGATTTTGTAATAGTGCCGGATGCCATTGAAGACCAGTAAGATAGTGTCTATCCAACTTTCAGCCACACTGCGGTTTTTGACAGAAGGCTCCTATTAACAGTCCTCCTTAGCGCAACCTACAGTCCCTGAAGTTATAACAGAAATGCTAAAGACTTTTGAACGTTTGAATTGTCCTGCTGGATTATATTAGGAACGCAAGAAAAAGAAAAACGGAGAACTTGCGCCCATTTTTACATCATGTTCCGCGTTCCAAGCATTGCTGCTTGTAAAATCCATTGTTCATGACTTTAATTTTTATTAAATTTCCACTTGCAAAAAAAAAAAATTGCACACAATTCTGTCAACGAATAACCGGTCGGCTTAATTCTGACATTTAAACCAATAAATCGGATTCTGCAACACCTAAGTCAACACAAATTCTGTTTGGATAATGCAAACCAATGATCGGAATGTGTAACCCCTTCAACAGAATTTTGTCGGTTTCAATTCTGATTCCGACAACAATCTGTTTCTGTAACACCCCTAAATAGTAACAACACTGCTATATTTCCCCAGTTTTAATTATATTCGTACTAACTGTTTACACATTGAAAACAATTAATTGACAGCATAATTTTTTCTGTCTTTTGAATTTGAACTTTTACTTTTGTGTCTTGAATTCTGGAATTTGTGTTCATTATTTATATTAGGACTACTCAGACTAATATTATTTAAAAAAGGAGATAAAGAAAATGGTTTTAGTTAATAAAAATCAAGTTTAAAAACGGTTCATTTTGCAAACAATTAATTGATATGATTGTACATACATGCTTACAAGAACTCACAGTGGGCCTCTTTGTGCAAATGGGTAGTAAAAAAAGGATAATTGTATTGGAGTACATTCGTTGTTTCTATCTGCCTACAAAGGGATGCCCTTAAAAGCTTCTAAATATATAATTTTATTTTAATTTCAGTTCAAGTCGTAATTTTTTAACCGTTCTTCAATCTCTCTATTTAATTTTACAACTTGCAATTTTTATTACTTTGCCTGAATTTCAAGATTCTTTATTTCCATTTCGTTTCGTAGTTCAGTTGTTTTAAGCTCGATATTATTTTTTCTTTTCTTTCTAGTTCACTAATCTTATTTTCCTGCATAGTTCGATTCATTCCGATTCTGTTCATCGTTGAGACGGATGCACGTTGAAATGAATGCAAATTATATTTAAGTGAGTAAGAACATATCTAAACAAGTTCCTCAAACATTCAGCTTCAGTATGCTTCAATTCTCTAATGCAATATAGGACTTTAAGACCTCATGGAAGAGTAAAAATAACCCTTCAATTTATTTCAATTATTGAGTCGTTATCGCTGTTCGGTGACGAATGTCGGTAAAGTTGAAAACGAAATGAAGGCCACGGATTAAGCGCTATGAGCTGTTAACACACTAATAATTAGCGAAGCTACGACGTACCTTTGCCATATAGAGAAAAATATATGACCGTGTAGATATAACAAGTATATATTAAAATATATATAGAAAACAACAAACTGCAAAAACAAACAAATGTTATTTAACTAGTTTCTACTAAATTCAATTTCTACCGCGTGGCGTGGGAAAACTTGTGTTCCCTTAGCATCTCCAACTGATAGTGAGCAATAAAAAAGGAATAACTTAGGTGATAGAATTGAGCCGGCTATAATCGAAAGAGCTTCCTTCGATTTCTACGAAAAAAAATTAGTGCTGTTTTTTAACTCTCTACAAGTAAAAGGTATTATATTTCTCATTAATTTCGGAGAAATTTCTTAAATCTGTACAACTTCCGAATGATTCGATACTTGAGAATCAAAACTCAAATTATAGCGATTAAGATAAATTCATTTAGGACAGCCGGTGGGACAATTTTTTGTAATAACCTATGGAAGGAAAAAACCTTGTCTAATTCATATTTTGTTAATATGTATATAATTGGCACTTTGTAACCGGTAAAGCGATTATTCGGCCGAGCTCCTACTCCAATTGTGGTTTTTTCTTGAGTTTTTTCCAACAAATGGGGGACCTACAGTTTATACCGCCTCCGAACGGCTGATGGTTTTCTACGAGGAGGCGACCGCAATTAGAAAATTTAACTTATTTTTTTATTTCAATTAATTTTCCATAACTTTTGAATGTTGGTCGCACCGAGATATGAACCCGAGCCTTCCGAATGTCAGTACGCAATGCTGGCCACTCGGCTATCGCGGCCGCCAATTAATAATATGTTTTTAATCGATGTTTTTTAGTCTACAATTAGTCTCTTTAACTTTCACTGAGATATTTTAACATTTCTAGATTAAAAATGCCGTTGTCATCAATACATTAAATATTTATAATAAAACCAAGTTTTAAGATAACATAATTTCATCCTCAAAGAAACAATGTGTTACAAATTGAATCAATTAACTCAATAAGACATATTATTAAACATATTTTAGACTTAAATTGACTTTTATTTACAGAGAGCTGTAATGTTATTGCAATCACGCTTATTTTAGTTTAAATATATTTTACTAGTTTAGTTTCAGAAGAATTGAATTTAGTTATGCATATAGCAAATATTATTTCATTCAAAAGACAGATACAAATAATTTTATCCATAATATGTATGTTTTTAAAGGTTAATGTAATGCAAGTTTTATATTATAAGATTGCGATTTGTTACTATTCTGCACAGAAATTAAAGACTCAAATTTTACGCAATTGATACGGCTCTCTACGTGGATTACTTTATTCGTTTTCTGAATTACTATCGTAAATTATACCGCTCTCTTGACAGTTCTGTTTAGTTGGATGGTGAGAAAATGGAAGTTTATTGCAATGGTAATGGTAGTTCGTATAATTTTTCTAAATTTTAATATTTTATACTTATACTTACTTACTATATACTTTATTTCAAAACCTCCATTTTTTTTTAAATTTACATTCTACTAAAAATGTTTTGCTTCTAATGAAATTCAGTGCTGTTTCTTTTCTTAAATCTTTGTTTGAATTTTTTAATTGATTTGGATAAACTTCAGATAAAAATAAGGGGAGGTCATGATTTGGTCGTAATTTGCGTAATATTTAAAAATGAATTACCCACTCTTTATGCAATTCGCTGTCAACCGTATAACTATTAAGTCGTTGCTATTAAAAATAATTTTATATTTGTAAAACATATTCATATATCCTCGGAAATCAGCCTTCTTTCTTTTTCAATTTGATACTACTTCTAGTTTTCTTTATTTTTAGTTAGGAATACTACAATATTATAAATATACATTTTACTTAAACTTATCGCTATCTTTTTCGCCAAACCTACTATTATAGATAAAACTACGATGTTCTGGAGTCAAAATAGGATTTAAATATTTAGATGTATTTTCAATGCGTCTTCGAAAGCGATCTCTATCTCGAGCAAAATTTTCCCATTGTCCCTTTCTTGCGGATTTGTAAGCGAAGCTCCAAGCGTACATCGTGTGAACTACTGGATTTAAGTTAAAACGAACCTGAAAATATGTTTGTATGGAAGAAATATTAGTGACACTGTGTAAAAGACAATTCATTTATTGCATTTATTTTTATAGGACGTTGAGAAACTTAAATAATGTGATTATTGTGAAAAACTTCATTAACATTCAGTATACGAAAATTTATTTTGCATGCGAAAACGATTAAGAAAGAATTTGATTCCTCTTTTTTCCTGATAACATGTTCTCATTACTGTACATAGTCAACAAGGTTTATAGAATACAAGGTAACGACAGCCGTTGACGTCACCGAAGCAACTTCGTCATATATACAGTGGGTGAGATTTGATATATATATGGAAAAATATTCTTATACATACAAAGCACATAAAAATTTTGTATTTGATCCTACATACCATAATTAAAAAATTGCGCAAAAATAAGCAAAAAAAAACGGCTGTGAAGGGTTTTGATCAAACCAAGGTCGAGGTGGCTGAATACCACTAAATGTGAATAAGAGCTTTACACAAATTTAATACGTAGGTACCATTTCTTTTTTTCAAATCAATACTTCATTCTTGCAGATATATTATATCCGCCGAATGCAGGTTCTTTTTATTGCCAAAAAGAAAATTTTCAGCCTAGAAAGTTGTATTATTAAATTCATTACATGAAGCGGCTAACGAATATTTTACAATATTTCATGTTTGTTTTAATTCTTTACAATTTTTTTTTTTAGAAATTTTAAACACATTTTTTTCTCAAGCTACAACAGAAACAGGAAAAGCTATGCAGAAAAACTGCGCTGCCGCAGCAACTCCAGTGCAGGCGACGTATATAGAACAAGGTGAAGTAGCTAAAATGAAAAAAGGGTCGGCAGTACAGACAGGCATTGATCGCTACATAAATGTGATAAACAAAAAGACGAAATCTAGTCCTCCCAAAAAGTTGGCTCCACTATCGATGCTTTTGGTATTGCGCTTAAGGGGAACAGATATGCTCCGTTAAATTAGGAATAGCTTATAATAGACCCAAAGAGTATTTCCACAGCTGCTATTACTAAACCTTCACCAATCTACTTGCGGGAGCGCAGTTCTAATTTACTCGTTACGAACATAGCCAAGATAATGGGTACCAACAATTGTCACATTGCATCTCTTAAAAAAGGAAACATAGACGAGACAAAAATACAAGTAACCAGTGATAAAGATTTTCGTGAAGTCGTTGTTTCTTTCTGCAAATAACAAGATTGTTGTAATTAAAAGAATTGAAGCCACAGTTGACTCAGGTGATATAAAAGAAGCTCTAAAGTAGCAAGGGTTTGAAATTAGGGCAGTCGTTAATATAATTAATAGGAATAAAGTGTTGCATGCTATGTGTATTTGACGCTAAGATCAGCTCAACTAAAGTAAAACGAAACACATCCAATTTACGGTTTAAAATATCTCTTACACCGAAGAATCGCGGTGGAAAAAGCGCTCAGGCGTAATGGTCTTGTACCTGATGAAGGCGCAAATGTTCCAAGCCTTGTTGACCAAAAAATTAGTGAGCTCAGGACTTGCTTATAGAATGCTAATGCTGTAAACCAGCAGAAAATAGCACTCAAATTATTCTTACAGGCTCACGAAATTGATGTTATACTTATATCTAAAACACATCTCATCCAGAAGTATAATTTTTATATCCCTGGGTTTAAGCTATACAACACTAATGAATATATAACAAAAGGGTATCCAATCACGGCAGGTGTTCCGCAAGGTAGTGTTTTTGGACCAATATTGTACATACTGTTCAGCGCAGATATTGCTACAAGTGGCAAATACTGCTATACTTAGTCGACATGAATGCCCCATTACAGCGGAAAGCCCGTGACGCATATATTTAAAAAATATCACAGTGGTTTGGCTCGAAATAAATATAAAATGAATTAAATAAAGCTAATTTGTTGCGGGTTTAAACAATTCAGAAATGAGTTTATTTTAATTGAATATATTTATTAATATATAATATAAATTGATACAATATTACCTTTTTAGATAACGAGAAATGGCAGCGAAACGTCTGTGTCTTCAATATGTGAAAAACAAGTAACCGAAACGACAAAGGGAAAATACTTCAAAACCTCAAAACAGTTCTTTCGTTCCGTTTTGAGGGGAAATGCAACAACAGTCCGCTGCGGTAAGGCTCAGCTTTCATCTTTTGTTGCATGAGTGTGAGATCTGTGTGCATGGTTTTCTTTATTTACATATTTAGTGAATTTATATTAGGGTGGTATACCCGTTGATTAAAAGTAATTTAGTCTGGAGGCCTAAAAAACAGCCACAAAAGTGTTACAGCAGCACCTTAAACTAATTGAAGAATGGCTAGCAAAATGACTCGTACCTTTCCCAGATGCTAACGAAATCACATACCTTGGCATCCACTTGGACAGCCGCTTAACCGGAAGACGATACATTGCTTATAAAAAGCTGTAGCTTAAACTCAAGTCCGCCAGTTTACATTGGCTTTTAAACAAGAAGCCTGGACTTAGTCTTAGCAACAAAGTTCTCTTATATAATGCAACAATAAAACCAGTATGGATATATGGAGTCCAGTTATGAGGTACAGCTTGCACGACGAATATAGACATAATACAAAGGTCCCAATCAAAAACTGTAATAGTGGTAACGGGCGTACTATGGTATATGTGTAATGAAAATATCCATATAGATATAAATATACCTACCATCAAAGAAGAGATTGAGATTGACATTGCAGAACAAAAATACTTAATAAAACTGCGTAATCATCCGAACCCTTTGGCTAACACCTTAGCCCATGCAACAAGTCAAACCCACCAGCTGAAAAGAGACCAAGCAAGCTTCTAAAGAGCAACGTCAAGCCAGCAGCCTATTTCTACTGATGGGTTTTATGTTTTAATTTATTTTAAGATTTTATTACTTATTTTTAGTCTTCCGATGTCGAGGCAGATTCAGACCTCTACGGTCTCACGGAGCTCCCGCAGCATTGCTCCCACCAACGCCTACTCCCATCCACAACCAGCTCCTCATCCTCCTCCCGTGCGAGGGCTACCCAGCAGCTCCTAGTACCCCGCACTGCGTGTTCCGTGTGTCAGACCATAGTGCGTCGGAACAAGACCTCAGTCAGATACGACTCTTGCTCTGGCTTGTGTCATTTTCGGACATGCTCTGGCCTGCGCACCACCCGTGAGTGGAGCAATGCGTATGTTGCCTCGTGCTAAGGAGTCTGTCCCCGCATGTTTCGACAAACCCTCCGCCAACTACCACCAACGTGCGGAACCAACCTTCGCGGGTATTACAGCAGCAACACACACCATCCACGCATCACTCCCTCACCCCCTGTATCACGAACGTTCCCTCGAGACAGACCCGACTCCCAAAATTTAACTGCAATGGACTCCAGGGAAAGATCGACGAGATAGTCGACAGCATGAGCCGGGAGCACCTGTAAATTGCTGCGATCCAGGAAACCAAGTTGACCGCCCGATCAGATCTTCTGAACAGGGCCGGATACAACATAATCCGCAAGGATCGCGAGCGAGACCATGGTGGGGGCTTAGCGTTCATCCTGCACAACACCGTACAGTATCGTCTCATCGATGGCGACATCGACCGCAGGGATACTACCCTAGAATGTCAGGGCATAGCTCTCCGGTCAGGAGATGCCGAGCTCGTAATATTCAAGGATACTCCCCTGATACAGGTACGCTACTCTGGGGCGAAACCCGTTTGGTTTTGGGCGACTTTAACGCGCATCACCATCTTTGGCATTCTAGCCTGTCAAATGACCGTAGAGGAATGGAGCTGGCAGAACAGATAGACGATTCGACATTCTGCAAAATCAATGCACAATCGTCGGACCAGGCTTGGTTTTTACACCAGCCCTGATCAGAAGGATTTGAAGCTACCCAGCTGCAAGGTTGGCGAACTTAGACTAAAGTTACCTGTTGACCTAAACGGGATTAGGTCGCCGAAAGGGTGGTAGCCTTTTAAAATCCGGGTCAACTCCGGTGCGTAGAACCGGCTGTAGTGAGAGTCGTAACAGAGCCGGTTGTAATTTTAGAATATAAATTTAAATCCTCGTATTTAGTAAAGCGAATTGTTAGTTATTGAGTAATAAATATACGTCGGGTAAGTTTTTCCAATAAATCTCGGAAATTTCATTTAACAATCTAGTAATCTAGCTCGAAAGATTCTTTGAATCATCTAGAAATATTTATCGAGAATCATGACAATTGGTGTCTTGGCATTTAAAGATTGTCAAGATTCAGGATTTGCGATATTATCGCTCAAAGGAGAATGGGCAAAGCGGAGATTATCCGGCATCCCACTTATTATTAAGGGTTTTAACCAGAATCACAGTTGCGATAAACTATGGACACCGAAGAAGTTAACTTGAGCCAATATAAATTCTGTCGCGAGAACGAAGAGACATTCACGAATGAAGAGGGGAAACTAGAAGAAAAATTGGTCGTTTTAGAACATAGGTATCTTAGTCTATTTCATCTTATTTTATATTTTCTATATATTGATCATTCTCAGTATGTAATCGTATAGTTTCAACTCACCTTTTTAACTTTATGAATAGGGCTGGCAACGTTTCGTATATAACATGAACTATTATCACTTGTTATGCTTTCAAGGCTCCCATTTAATTTATTTTCATTTTTTTCAAAAGATCCTTTTATGTCTTCGTCGGAATTTTCATCTTCACTTTCATCACCATCATCATAATAGAAATCGTAATTTTGATTGTTGCTTCCATCTTCCTCTAAAAAACATATATCATCACTATGTTCCGACACAGTTCGCTGTCGTTGTTTCCATGGCAAACAGCCATGACTGAGATGTATATTATGCTCATTACTACTTCCACTACTAATAAAATCTCTCTCTGGTGGTGCCATTTCGTCATCCGTAATGGAAATTTCACTCGGCGGGTTGTTTATATCATTATTCATTTCCTTGTGGAACGGAGATTTTAAGCCTTCTATAAGCTGCACAAGTAGATCTTGGGCGGCTGGCTTTATTAACGGAGATTTCATTTTTACAATAATGCTACTTAGCACAGGTAAGTCTGCATTCCTAGTAGTGTCCCACGAATACGTTTTTAGAGAGTTGTTAACGTAATTTAATTTATGAGAAGTTGATAGACTTATAAGTTTGCAAATTGTTGAACAGAAGAAGTTGAAAGTTATATCAGTACAATAATTTTTATTAAAATTTTTACAGAAATTTACACCTGACACGTTAGATTTTAGATTACTCGTATTATAGAGATATTTTACGGGAATACCCAGAATCGAAGATTTATAATGAGAGTTAACATCCTCAACCGTACTAAAACCACAAGGAACATGAGCGGTTAGTATATCATTTACTTTTAACATGTGATGTATTCTCACTAAGGAGAATTAAATAATTTCCAAGTTGTTTCAAGCAACAATAACGCTAATAAATACCATATTTTTCGATAATAACCAAACTGTTCTCATAAATCTTCAAGGGCACGTCATTTTAAACGATTGCATCAGCTTTTCTGTCACCAATTCAACAATGTCGCGAATTTCTCGACCGGGTTAAAATTCTTGCCAACGTTTTTAGGTATACAACTAATTATTAAATCCGAAGCTAAGAGTTTTGAAAATCTTTCTTTATAAGACACAACTATTGAATACATTTTAAGAACAAGATGACTATACCAAAGGATTCACATAAGAGATAAATAGTAATGCTAATCGATAGATTGCCTTCGCCGATTCTTATCGATACTTATTACACAAGGTTCACAGTACGGTTACATTTTTTTACGACATCATGAATTACATTGTCCGTCTTCTCAATTAAGAACGCAAATTATCACATTCACGCTATTTGACAGCTTTCTGTTTCGTTGGCTTATTCTTTTTGTACTATTTGTAAACACAGGCAAAAGCAAAGCCTTTAGTAAAAGTTAATGAAATATTAAATTGAATTGGTGAAGTCGTCATTATTGTTATCAATTTTACTTCTAACAATTCAAAAGGGCTAGCATTTGGAACCCGATGAACTAGTGACTATACTAGAAGAGGTGGAAAAGATCTAACATTTTGGGATGCGGTAGTCCGTACCGGTTTTCTTTTATGCTTTTCATTGTCCTTTGTTTTGAGTTGTCAGCAGATTTCTAGATTGGCAAACAGCGTAGTTTAGCAACCAACGTAATTAGGGTAATACCATATTCAGAGAATGTATAATAACGAGAAGGACCAGCGCGTGCCGATTGCCAATTCGTTCCTACTTTTTCGTCGACCAGAAACACATCAGCGGGCTTTTCACCTAGAAATCTACGAGTACCACGAATTTTGAATTTTCGCAGGTTACGTATAATCGAATTTCGATTTTTTTGTGGCGTTATGTTGGTACTCACGTCTGTCACTTATGCCGACAAGCTCTGCCATTTTGAATGTTCACTTAATTGTTGACAGCTGCTTTGCTTGCACGTGTTTTGGATGGTCTTCGATTTTTACCTATTCAAAAAAATGGATCAAAGAACCTGTATCAAATTTTGTGTGAAAAACGAAATTAAGTGCGCGGATGCATTCCGAATGTTTACTGTGGCATACGGAGAAGCAACCTTGAACCGAAGCAACGTTTATCGGTGGTACAAAATGTCCTCAAAAGGCCGAGAAAATGTGAACGACGAACAGCGTCCCAGACGCCCGAGCACTTCAACAACTGACGAAAAAATTAATGACAGGGGCGTGGTGCTCCATGAGTTCTTGCCACAGGGTAGAACGGTCAATAAGGAATATTACCTGCAAGTTATACGCAATTTGCGCGAAGCAATCCGCCAGAAGCCAAAATTGGCTTTTGCACCACGATAACGCCCCTGCTCACACATCGCTGCTTGTGTGCGACTTTTTGGATAAAAACAACACACTAATGATGCCGCAGCCACCGTATTCCCCAGATCTGACCCCCTGTGACTTTTTCTTGTTCCCTAAACTGAAGAGGCCCATGAAAGTACGACGTTACGCTACGATTGACGAGATCGAATGAGGAGATGAACAAGGTAAAAATAAAATGATTTTTTTAAGTGCTTCGAGGATTGGAAAAACCGTTGGCACCAGTGTATAATATATATCTCATGGGGATTACTTTCAAGGGGACAAAATAGATATTCATGAATAAATAAATAATTTTTGAAAAAACACAAAATTCGCGATACTTTTTGAACACACCTCGTATGAGCGTATTTCACAACAAATTAACAGTGAGCAGGCAGAAATCGGTCTCAAAATAGCAGAATGAGTAAAATTATATGAAAACTGAGAAAATCGGTGTAAAATATAATAAAACCTATGTAAGATAAATGTTAGCAAATGATTTTTATCAATATTTATTTAAACTTAAAAAATTTCTGTTATTGGCTTTAATAGTTTGAAATTTTATTAAACAATTACGAGATATAGAACTCATATATTTTTTTTATACCCATTTTTATATTTTACTTATATTTTTTTAAACCAATAGTGATAATTTTGATGAATTGATATTTAATTAAATTCTATTAAATACTTTTCAGAGAAATAAACTCATTAATAATCATTCTCTGCATTTATTCACATGCATACATAGTTATAGAGGCAAATATCAGAACAGTAGGAAAATCAAAACTCATCCACGCACGCAAATATATGTACATATTTTACATATATACGCACATGAATTCAAATTTACACGTTTGTTTACCAACAAAAACTTACGCATCCATCAAAAAAATACTACGCATTGCCATGGTAATACTATTATAATTGCCGCAATTTGAAATTAGAAAAAAAACTAGCGTCGCACATCTCCCCTCGCGCGTCCATTATACAAACCAAAATACAAAAATTTGAAATTGAACAAATTTGTGTTTTCATTCGACAATTGTTAAACGCATTCACGAACTGAGTTCTATACAATTAGCAAACGAATGTTTAATAAAGAATTGTCCATAAAACACGCAGCCATATTTTAGGCCATCCCTTCCATTAGATAATTTAGTTGCAAGTAGTTATTTTGCAGCTCTAAAAGTTGTAAGGAACGCAATCCTACTTCATCATAAAAATTCACTATTCTCAATAGTAGACTGGACATAATGATTTTTTTTTAACAATTCCTGTAGATAAGGCTGCTACAGTAGTGGGCAAGTGGCCCTATAGGGGAGTCAACAGATTCCACCAAAGAACAAGATTCTACACAGGACGTAATTATTGGTAAAACCTTGGCTAAGACAAAGTATTAATTAACTATATTGGGGCAACGCATCTCAGAGTTCAAGAATCCTGAAAGACAGCTAGCTCGGTGTTTTGAGGGACTGAAAAGTTATGACTTCGCTATTAAGAACCGCAAAGGATATTACCAAGTGGATGCTAAAAGAAGGCTAAATATCTAATGACAACTACATCAGCAGAAAAGTAAGAGACAAGTCAAGTACGGAAATGTTAACAGGAAGATTTGAACTTATAATGCACTGACTGGAGATAGACAGACGGCCAAGTAAGGAGCAAATGTTAGTCCAATTGCAAAGATATTCGGAATAGCTAGAAGTTGATATCTGGCTTGCATAAAGTATGGGAAAATAAAAATAGCCAGTCCTCCCATAATCTAATAGTAGAATTCCCGTGGATGAGAAGTACGGACGTTCTCAAAGAATTCCATAATGGTGCCAGTGGAAGACCTGGAAAACCTGGAAGAAGATCAAATAGTGGTTCTATTGGGCTGGTTTCCGTCAATAGGTCACAGAATGGATTCGAAGCTGCCAGGAGTGTATTGCACCAAAAGCGCGAAAATTCAGAAGTCATAAAGAGATAAAGCAAATCATTCAATTGAATGTGATCGTGGCCGGTCTATTCCCTATGAACAGAATAGACAACAAGTATGTACGCCCTTGTGGTCATGAACTTGTTTAGCCGCAGGTGTGCCCAATACCAAACCAGGAGGCTTAAACCGATAACTTAAGTATGATCTACTGTACGAGTATTGAATGTTCCGCATATCGAAAAAAATTTCAGAGCTGTGTACAAGTAATCTGCGAGCGCAGCAGCCAATCAGCGGCTAGACAAGTACAAAATGTACTCGTTGGTGACAAGACTATTGAAAAGTGAAAATAGTAAAGTGAATTGGTAATTTATTGCGTAATAAATAAAAATTGATCAAGTTCTTTACAGTAAAGATATTGTAAAACGAATTTGGTAATCTTTATTTTACAATCCAGTGATCGAGTACGAAGGATTTGGGGTATCAACGATGTGTATTTAGCGAATATGTATGGTTTGCAATATGAATACCTCGAAGTAGTCCGTACGCTGTTTACCACTGATCTCCCTCCAGAATTGAAGTATTCTTTATCCAGCCACAATAGAAAATTATATTTCTAATTGCAGTCGCCCCTCGGCAAGAAATGACATCAAGACGCATATCAAAAATTGGAGGAGACGCTCGGCAGAAAAACGCTTCAGCGGCTACAAAACTTCATATATATACATATATATATATATATATATATATATATATATATATATATATGTATTTATAAATTCCATATATGAAGCAGCGGCCGTTGTTTTAATTAAATATTATATCTTATTATTGTATAATTAATATTTTATAATTAATATTTACTCGTACATAGCTTGAAATAATACATTCAAATAAGAAGGAGAAGATAGGTGCAACAAGAAAATATTCGCAGAAAAAATTAGATGTCTCAACGGAACAACAAGCAGCGATCGCAGTAATCAGAGAGACACAGAAGTTGGAAGTAAGCCGGAGTTAGCAAAGAACTCGAAGAAGTGTACAACATAGATGAAGATTCGGTCACCACATATATAGCAGACGGTGTGGATATATGACACGATCTAAAATACCCATCTTACAGTGCGCGAAATTTCAAAGAATTAATAAAAGTATTTGAATCGCAATGAACCCCTGATGAAGCGCAATGAAAGTAGTCGTGGCTATGAAGTAAACAGCAGAGGTAAGAACAAAGCAGGCAAAAGCAGCAGTGACGTCAACCAATAAACGTAAAGGTAATTATTGGATATGATTTTTTAGAACAATATGTAGGCGTTTTGAATCCCAATGGCAATAAAATTTTATTAGTAAAAGACAAAGCCGATACAAACAAATTAGGGTATAACATTAACAATGTATAATACTAATCTTAAACGGAGAGATAGACGTATTGATCCAAATAAAAAGAAGTTGTAAAATCTATAATTGAAAGCTATAAGCCAAGTTGTGTCGAAGAAAGTTGTCCTGTTAAGTGGAGCGTGGTACCAAGAGATAATCACATTGCATTTCGTGAGAATCCTAGTCGGATATCTATGGTAGAGAAAAATTTGTACGTAAGCAGGTGGGCAAATGGTTGCAACATGGCATTATATGAGAATCTTGCTCTCAGGTTGCTAGTAAAGTCGCACTGGCGAAGAAGAAAGATGGCCGTTACCGGTTAGGTATTGAACCCTTTAGTTTTAAGAGACAGGTTTCCGGTATCGGTTGTTGAAGAGATTCTCGAAAAAATGCAAGGCGCCAAATATTTCACAGTCATGGACCTCAAGATGGTTTTTTCTCGTTAAAGTCGAAGGCCAGTGTTGAAAGTATGAGACGTTTGTTACAAAAGAATTCAATAAAGCACATTTCGCGGTTTTTAGTGTTTGGTTGCTTTATGATGCAAACAGAACAATGCTTACAGAATTACAGACAGTATTG